AGCTCATTTTGAAGAGAAAGACATTTCCTACAATTCATCTTCATGTTCCAAGTCCAAGAAATGCTCTCACAAAAAGTTATCAATCTCAACATTACAGGTCATTTTCAAAAGTCAACAAAAAGGGACTTTAAGTCAAAGACCATAACTTGAGATTGGTAAATCAAAATGACATGGGACCAAAGGCATTGGTTAAAGGACTCAAAGACCTTTCCAAAATGTCCAAGAACATGTGAAAAGCTTAAAAATTGAGCAAGTTATGCCTTGTAGAAGTTGGGAAAATTTTGTGAAATGGCAAAAGTCAATTATCTTTGAAAATCCAATTTTGACAAAAGGGCCCCATTTTTCTCACTTTGTCCATCCTTGTCATGCCACACACGTGGCCCATGGTTGATTTCAAGACCAAATGTTGACTTTTTCATTTTTATTTAATTTTTGATGATTTAATTCATTTTAATTCATTAAAAATTCAAATAAAATTTAAAAGTCAATGTAATGGTGTCAAATGAATTTGGACAAGTTCTATACATCATGAACCAACTCAAAAATCAGGCCAAGGTTCATTTTCATACTAAGTCTAGGTTTTGGCTAGAATTTAGGAAAAAATGGTTAATGAACAAACCCTAATGCCAATTCTTTCTCAAGCATGGATTAAGGTCAAATAGCAAGCCTATTCAATTGCAGGATGATCACTGAGTCCAACCCTACCTAGAACATAGCACAAAGCACGCTGAAAAGGCATTTGGACATTTGAAATTTTGGACATAAAAAGCAAAACTGAAATCATAGCTAGGGATCGTTTCAAGCCTCAATTTTTATACCATTAGCATCCTGGACCATCATTGAACGCATCTCAATCCATAACCTCAATCAAAAGCTCCTTGAACTAGCCTCTGCAAGTGAAACTGTACAGAGAAATTTTGAATTCGTATTCTTGATTTTACGCATCCTCTTGCATTTTTAATTATACATTCATGTTCCTCACGAGGTTTCCAAACTGACCAATGCATTTAATTTCATTTTTGTGCCATAAATATGAGTTTGCCATTTTCGAATTCTAGGGTTCCAATGTTCTTAAATTGGGGATTTTGAGTATAGGAAAAATTAGAACTCAGAAGCACCATGGCTGAATTCAGTGCCTCAAGACGAAAACATCTTGACCCTCGCGATTAATTTCTGATGCACACAGCTCTATTCGCTATTTTTTCTAATGTGGCCTAATGCAGCGCTTTAAAACCGTTGCTTTATGTATTTGTATTACAGGACACGCGAAGAAGAAGAAGATGTGTCAGCTGGTGATTGGTTCGTTCAAAATTCGCGCGCGTTTAACCAAGCACTAACCATTTTCCTTTATATATTTTATTGATTATTATATGTTAAATGAAAACAACCAGCTCAGCTGGCAGGGACGCGCACTAGTGACCACAATGACCTGGGTTCAAGTCCCAGGTCTTGCAATTTTCCAATATTACTTTTCATTTCTAATTCCTATGCAGCATAACATTGAGGACTCACCATGCTCCATCAAAATGCACCATCCACGTGTCCCAGAGCACTCACATCAAGGGCCAGGATTGGGAAGCATGCTGCACTTCAGTCAAAGGCATCTCACTGGATCAGAAAGTCAACCAATTCTCACAAAAATGGGCCAGGCCTTTCTAATTAACACCCTCCAATTCTGGGGTTTACCCCCCCCTGGTTTGCCCATTTGATTTTTTTTTCTTTTTTATCTTTAAATCATTTATTTCAATTGTTGTATTATTTTAATTACTTGTTTTATTTAATTTTAATCAAAAAATATAAAAAACATTAAAAATACAGAAAAGACAAAAAACAATATAATTAATTTTGATTCTTTTTTTTAATAAATTAAAATGTGACTCATTTAGTTTAATTAGGTTTTAATATTCATTTTAATTCTTTTTTTCATAATAAAAAATCCAAAAATATAAAATTAGGGTAATTATTAATTTTTCATATCCTTTTTTAATTCTTTAACCTTTTTCTCACAATGTTAATATTTATTATTTATTTTCTATAAATCAAAATTGTACATAATTAGTTTAGAATTTAATTAGGTTAGAAAATTAAATCTTTTTCATAATAAACTTAAAAAATGATAGAACTAGGATTTTAATTTTAATTAACTTTTCTCTTTTTTCTTTTAAACCTAAAAAACACAAAAACATTATTTTTAATTTTTTAATTTCCTTGATTATTTTAATTATCTGTTAAAGGGTCCAACGCCCTAATTTTGTTTAGTCTTTATTTCGCGCATTTGTTTTATATTGTGTAAATACCTCTGTATATGCCCCAAAGCCATGTAATTAAAAACTCTCGGACTTTTTATTTATTCGCTTTATTTTATTTTCAGTCAAATCGGGTTCGGTTTTTTTTGGCGATGTGGACCCGCGCCCGTTGTAATAGTTAGATTTATTTTCTCGCAAATATAACTGTTAATATGCATGAAAGAATGAATGCCCGAAAAATAAAATTGAATCGTTAGATCACCAATGCATGACAAGACAAATAATGAACTGAAAATGACACACAATTCGCACACACCACCCCTAGGGTACGCCTCACTGTTGCCTTTCGAAAGGTGGTCATCGAGTAGAAAACGTCTTAGTAAGTCCTCATGGTCCGGGAACCTGGCATGAGGGTAGCTTCTAAGGTGTTTTCCCATTGCTCCGGTGATCACCACGTCCCTAAAACTCGAATTGACCCGAACACCTCCAACAGTGGTGCTACCTACCTCTCAATGGTGGGATGGCACTACTTTAAAGGACTCTTACACAGACGAATTCCTTAGGGTAGGTAGGTTCTCGTAGGTACTTGCTCTCTTCAAAACAAAACAAAAACTCTTTTCACACCAACACACTTTCAAAAAACTTTCAAACAAACTTTTCAAACACTCTGACGCATGAGTTAAACTGAAACTTTTCAAAGAATATTTTTGAAACCCACAATTGAAAAGCAAACAACAATTTTGAAAACACATTGAGCAAGTACCTAAGAGCCCATGGATAACCATGGATAGAAAGGGTGCTAACACCTTCCCTTTCTATAACCTACCTCCCGAACCGAGAGCAATCTCTTTAAAGGAATTTTTCTGTGCTTTTGTCCTTTCCAATTGGAGAAAATAAAAGACGGTGGCGACTCTTGCTTCCGCGACATTTCGCGAACCAGCTTTAAAACAGTCAGTTCCAGATCCACCGATCACACCTTAAAAGGACCGTGAATCTCAGTTTACATTATCAGAGATTTCCTGTTGTACTTGAAGGATACAATGATGCAGATTGGAATACCTTATCAGATGATTCCAAAGCAACTAGTGGATATGTATTCAACATAGCTAGAGAAGTTGTATCTTGGAAATCAAAGAAACATACTATCCTGAGAATATATCATTAGTGACTGCTAGTGAAGAAGCAAGTTGGTTAAGATGCTTGCTAACTGAGATTCCCTTATGGGAAAAACATATGTCAGTTGTGTTGATCTACTGCGATAGTACCGCAACTATTTGCAAAAATTGAGAACCATTATTATAATGGTAAAAGACGTCAAATAAGAAGAAAGCACAACACTGTTAGAGACTGTATCTCTAAAGGAGCTGTAAGAGTGAGTCATGTACGCACTGATGAAAATTTAGCAGATCCTTTGACGAAAGGATTAGCTAAAGAGAAAGTCTATAATACCTCATATAAGATGGGACTAATGCCTATAGGAAAATGAGTTTCTTATGATGGTAACCCGGCCTAAATGACTGGATATCCCAAGAAATAGGTTCAATGGGTAACAACAAGTTGTGAGTAATATGAGATGATCATGTAAGTAAAGCATGAATCCTGAAGTAATAAGAGGATAAGATGATAGAAACTCTTAATGAGATCTATACTCTGTATGAGAGAGTACTTAGGCTACATGAGTATTCTTGATAGACTCACCTATGTGATTGTGGAACTTAGGCTCGTTTATGTGGAATTTTGAGGCATAATTCCTAGAGCCTTCATTAAACTGGGATACACGTGCAGGGCCATTAAAGCACGTGCTATTAGAATACACCTTAAGAAAAGGTTGTGTGTGGGTTTGATGTCTGAGATAGAGTTCAAGACATTTGTGTCGCTCTTGTTGAATTGGAATCCTACTTGCTATGCAAAGGTTCAAGTCGTAGACACCTTTGTTTATGCACAATCTTAGAAACGTTTGACGTTACTTCTAAAATAAATTTTTTAAATTCAAGTGGGAGATTGTTGGAACATGTCCATGTTCCAATATGTTAAATTTAAAAATTTCTCAAGTCCCACATTGTTAGAATATCTTTTTGGTTGAAAAAACCATTTAGTCCCATATTGCTCATGTGAGAAATATTAACTAGCTTACTTCACTATATAAGGAGTGCACATGTTTCATTCCAAATTACACCAAAAACTATTCTATTAGTTTTTCCTTCCTCGCTCTCATAACTTTGCGTCTCTCGAATTGTTGAAGCACCGTCTTCTTCCCCTTTCTTCCAACTCGTTGAATTTTCCGAGTATTTTCTTGAATTCTTTTTAGAGAATTATGTTAGTTTCTCCTCATTTGAGTTGAGAAATTTTCAATTTTAATCTTTTGGATTCTCTTTGGAGAATTATTTGAATTTCTCTTTGTTGGAGAAATTATTATGAGTGGTCAAATGACCATTATTAATTTCTCTTTGGAGAATTATTTGAGTTTCTTTTTGTTTGAGAAATTATTATGACTGGTCTTTATACCGGATATAAAGGGTGTATTTCTAGACTGATTATATATCATGCAAGTAGTAATCGTACAATATAGAACTGAGCTGTTTAATCTTGGAGACGGTGCGGTAGTTCGACTGCTTTGTATAATTTTGAGCAGTGTCGTGAAACGTCTTAAAGAGAGCGACCTAGTCCGCGACTCAACCTGGTAATTTCTTCAGTGGCAAATATTTCAAAATCCGAAATCAATAAAAACACAATCAGAGAAAGAAATCGGGCTAGATGCTGATTCACCCCCTGAAGAGAAACCTCTTAAGGTAACTTCCTAATCCATTTCATGATTTCATCTAATTGAGAATAATATCAAGAGAAAATTGTGCATGATTTATAGATTCGCCTGTTTGATCTTATCTTTAGAAACCTGAGACTCTCCCCAACGAAAGTGTTTCTGCAAAAGAAAGTATAGCAAAAGAGTCGTCTCTTCGAAGTCTTAAACTTTTCGGGACAACTCTATTTGTAACAGATACTTGCAGACCCAATTGAGGCATGCAAACCAATACCTCTTGACAAACATGTAAGCAAGGGTGAACAAAAATCAGATAGGTTTGCCAATAGTTCACTATGTGAAACATCAGCCGTATCTCAGTTAAGAGTGAGAGTGAGACGCGAAACTTGCGGAAAAGGGTTTGTGCCTTATAAAAGGTGCATGTCAAAGAAAGAAATCCAGTCTTCATCTGCAACAACTGATGAAAGATAATAGAAAAACATTCACCTTTTGTCAGTTTGGTTACTCTTTATATCAGATGATACCGCAGCGAAGATCCAATTTGTTGCTTCTGAAAAACCATGATGAAGACGCGATAAATAGAGATCCAAGGCGCATTCTAACATAAGCTACAAAATTTGATATTTCTGTCTCCTGCAAATTATTTTGATGTTCAAATCCCCAAAGCTTTCTTTTGTAATTTTTCACACTTTCTGCTGTGGATTATCTTACAACTCTATATGCTCAGTAAAATTTATTAGAAATCTGCATAATTGTTTAGCTTACTCTGAGAGTACTTGTTCATAGGTTCTCTCATATTTACCATGCTGAAATTACTAAAAAAAAGGCCTCTTTCATGGATCTACTAATAATGTCATGACATTACTACTTACACCAAATTTATCCAACAATCTAACGATAAAAGTGTAATGCATGCATATGTTAGTAGTAAAAACTCACAAGATGGTTCATGTCACAATTTTCCAGCGAGCTTGAATAAGCGGTCAATTTTTTAACTTTTAAGACCCAAAACTCAAATTTTCTTGAAATCCTTGTAAAATAACATTGGATTTCATTTTAATTAATAATTTTTTTTTTAATATAAAAAATTTCACATTTTAAATACAATGAATAATTAATATATCTAATAATGATTAAATACATCAATTATTTAATGTATTAAAAAGTAAATTTTTTCTCTTAATAAGAACGAAAGGTAGAATTTATACAATCTTATGGCCCAATAACTCATAAAGACTCAGAGTTCTTTATGTGTTTTTTCTAACAGTTGAGCACACTTTATAAGTTTAGGGAAATGCTATTTCTATTCTTATAAGTGCTCCCACACCATCGTGAAAAGTCCATATTATCTTTAGTGTCTGGAGATGCATCTTTAGACACATTTATTTTCACCATTTCTCAAACAAAATTGAAGTGACATCCCTTTGACGTTAAAATATAATATGGGGATGCATCTCTGTATGTGAAAAAGTGTGTTTGAAGATGCATCTCCGTAGCACTATTTATTCAAAAATGTGTTAGTGGTCCGGAGATGCATCTCCAAATGTTTTCTTTCATTAACTCGCGTCAGAACCCTTCCCTTTTCCCCATTCTTCATTTTCTAAAAAAAAACACTCGACTTCTACCTCTCACAACCATTGTATTTAACTTTTGAAGCATTGCATTGAAGCACTAGTGTATCTCTTTCTCCTCATTTTCATCATCTCATAACATCGAAATAAAACATTCTCATCAATCAATTCTATTTTGATAAGTTTTTCAAATTTTATTTTCTTTTTGTGTTTTGGTTTTTAAGTTAGCTTTTTAGGATACATTAGATGTTTTAGGCACTATAGGTAGTCATGTAAACAAACTTGGTAGGTTAGAACAACATGCAATGAGGTTTTTTGAGATTGTTAGGACAGAAAATGGGTCTGTCATGGGAAATCAAAATCGCAGATTTGTCTGGAAATACATCTCCGAATTTGCTCTGTATTGTTTTTGGAGACGCATCTCCGGATTAGGCTAAATAAAAAAATTGGGACATTTAGCGAACATGTTTATATTTGTTTTTGTTTATAACGCAAGTACAATGCCCGACAACAATGAAGGTCGAATTAGGGTCTGATAATCCTATTTTGTTTATATTCGTATTTTGGATGATTTGAACCGAAGAATGAAACCTCTATTTATAGGGTTCAAATCCTCCAAAAGAGGAAACATCATTAAATCAAATTTGACTGTTGCTTATCGATTAAGCTAATCGATTAAAGCATTAAAAAATAATGGCTATGCGTTCCAAAATAGGTAAGAATTGATATATAGTCCCTGATAATCGTTTGGGTACATTTAAACTGTCTTGTTTCTCAAGAACGCGCCAATCTAATTGATTGAAACTCTGTGTTAATCAATTACAACCAGTCAAAATAATTTTTCTGACGTTTTGAATGTTCTCATCACTTTCTAAGCAACTTCTATATTCTTCTTCAAAACATTTTTTTTTCAAAATCATTTTATAAAAAAGTTTTAAGTGTCTGTGTGTGCTTATAGGAAACTACCTCTATAAAGAAAGAACTTTTGCTTACAAAATTTTTACTCACTTACTAAATTGGGGTAACTTTCCTAAGTCTTTGTCTGGCGTATTCATTGTATTGACACTCTTGCTTGATATCTTCTTTTGGGGCTTGTGATGTAATCTATTTGTTTCCCCTGTCTGAAGATTTGTTCCGTTATGAAACTTTGTCAGTTCTTCAACTGAGACTTTCAACTGAGATTTTTCAATCCTTTATCAAACATATGGCTTGCATCTTTGACTGTTTGAGTATATTGATTGACTTTTTAAATGGTTGCATCTTTTAATATGTTGAATATTATCTTATCTTCTTTTTTACATTATTCATCATGTTGCATCTTTATCATGATGATTGCCTATTATGTTCTTCTTAGTTGTCAACATATTGCATTTGTCTGCTTCGTCATCATGTTGAATATCCTTTATAGTAATTATGACATTTCTACATTTGTCATCATCAAAACAACATTTGTTACATGCAAAACAAGGCTAACTATCACACTTTTTCTCTTGCATAACTCTGAGGCTTCCAAGATCCCTTGCTAGATACACCGATCATACAAGCCCTTTAACAGAATCTTGAGTCTTCTGTTACATGAGGCTTGAGATGTCTCAAATTTTAGTTACTATCTTCACCACCAACTTCAACAATCTTTGGTGTTGTCATCATCAAAATTTCAGGAAGGAGCTTCATACTTGCAAGCTCATAGATTCACAAAAGGTGTTGTTGCTTATGCCATTGAGCTATTGGGAGTGACTATAGAGGAGGCAAAAGAAGGGGTCACTGCTTGTATGGGTCCATATCCTAAGCTGGAGTGGATGCACACTTTATTCATGCGTCATCAAACTAATTATCAATTCAACTGTGCTTCAAGAGCCTATATGATGATGTTAAATGACCTTTATGTAGAGCAACAAGATAGGCTAAAAAAATAACCCAGAATAAAAGAAAATGGAGAGATGAAACAAAACAATTGAATTTCACCTCAGAAATATAACGACATTTGAATATCTTAAGTGGAAGTGTCACACCCTAGTCTAGAAATTTAGGGCCACGTGTTAGAAATATCATGTGAAATATTTCAATGATGAGACTAACATTTAACACACCGGTTACCCTGTTTACTCATGTTGGCCGCCAAACCTCTTCCACTTCTCTAAGCAGCGATCATGGTACGAAATACCCGACCCATTTTCTCAAAAGAGTTCCCACTATTACGCCACGAGAAGCCTTGAGGGCAATTGCTCTAGGAGACCAAATGCCCAATAAGAAAAATACCCAATCGCTAATCCTAGACCATTATGCTGGAACAAGGGATGTATAGTCCAACTATGTTGCAGAGTTTCACACCTGATCAATGTCATAAATCTCTAACCACCGTTGGATATCATCTAACAATATCCCGTATTCTAATTCGTGTTGCATAGGACACCTTAACCAACTTTCATATATAAGGTGCTTGACGTGTAATTCTCATATTATTTTTTATTCTCCACTTATTTGGACATCAAAGTATTAATTTTGCATGTCGGTCTCTTTTCTACCATACCGAAAACTTGCCCCACCAATCTTAAATCTCATTTCTTGTCTCACTGACCATTTCCGACTTCCAATCTAAACAGTTAAGGAATATACATATCTCTTAAAAGACTAGTTGACAAAAGGAAGATGAATAAATAATCCGCCCAACATTATTGTTTAAAATATTAGAAAATCTAGAATTTTCTTTGAAGTTGTCATGTTTAAGCATATAGACGGGGTTACAAATGAGGTCGGCCATGTTACTGTCCGTTTTACTATGTACAAAGAAAAAACTCAGACTAGATTAAATAAACACCAAGAACATTTCTGCTAGGTTAGCTGTCAACAGTAACTAAAAATAGAACAGAGGATAGAAGCATTCAATATATAAGCGGTCCAAAGGGTCGTTATCGTCCTTTCAATGGGGCCATACTCAGCGAAAAATTTGGCATCGAAAGTTCTCTAGGGAAGCAAAATAGCAAACTTCCAACGATATATTTTCAAAAAATAAGATAAAAAATTATTTGCTTAAAAATTTAAAGAGTACTCCAGCAATAAAGACGGTACTAATAAAATGACAGAAGTGTCAGTCAGCACTTAAAAACTGAGATGATAAGAAATTGTAAGAAATTTTGAAAAATGTGATATCTGTGTATGAGAATTGTGATTTTTGCATCTCTCACACTTCAAATTGTTCCTCATTAGTATTCTCCAAAACTAAAACGCCAAATGCAAATATCACAGAGTGTATTAATCTCTATTTACATTATTACCCTTCAACTAACTATTACTACATCTCATTACTCTTCTCCATCACCTCCAGCCGCACCATTCTCCGAATCCCCTAACAAACCTACCTCTCCTCCCGCCGCCGAATGGCTCTCCGCCCACGCCACCTACTCCTCCTCCTCCGATGACACCAGAGACGCAGTCGGCGGCGCATGCGGCTACGGCGACGCTCTCAGAGACGGTTACGGCACCTCCGCAGCTTCTCTCAGCGAGACTCTCTTTGTGCACGGCCAGATCTGTGGCGCATGTTTTGAGCTTCGCTGTTTTGAGGAGGATGTTCCGTTTGACCGGCGGTGGTGTGTTTCCGGCAGGTCTATTGTTGTCACCGCTACGAATTTCTGTGCTCCGAACTATGGTTTTGACGCGGAGAGTGACGATGGACATTGTAATCCTCCTAAGCAGCATTTCGTGGTTCCGGTTGAAGCTTACGAGAAGATTGCGATTTGGAAAGGGGGGAACATGCCCGTGGAGTATCGCAGGTACTTACTCTATTCTTAATCTTCCTCTTTATTATTAGTTTTTCTTTCTTAATCATGCAGATTTTGAATGAATTTGTGTAACTAATAGTTGTTGATGCAATTGCAATATTACATAATAAATAAATAAATAAATAATTGGTGTTGCAATTTTTATTACGTAACCATCTTGTTAATTATTAAAATACAAGTATTGGTAGAATAATTAAAAAGTAAATTTCCTTTGCAAAAGAAAAGTATTGTTTACTAATGATTCATATAAACGATAGTCTCAAATATGGCCTTTTGGTTTGACGTTTGAAGCTCCAAACGCACGTTCAGCTGCTCTTTCACCTTAATTTCAAGAAGCTATATAGTGTGTGATCTGGCCTGATCAGAAGGTTTGGACCGTCACGGCTTGCTCCGAGTTGAAAGCTTTTTGAACGAGGAGGGGGTACCTGCAAGGCACTCCGATGCTAAAGTCAGTGGGAGTACGAGCAAATAATAGAGTTGAGGTTAGAATGATCAATACCTGACCCTCTGGAAACAGAGGGTATTTATAGCCCCCAGCGCTGGGCCAAGGTTCCTTCATTGGGCTGGGCGGATTTGGCCCAATGGAGGAACTGCCAGGTTCTACGTGGGTAGTGGGGACCAGCACGTGGTCCCCTTCCTGGATGTGCTGCATGAAGTGCGGGCGAACGAAGACGCGGTCTTTCCGGAGTATCGTTGGGGCAACGGTGGACTGAGTCTGCCCTAGCTGGGTAGCTCGAGCCCATGTCGAGCTGCGCAGCACGGTGCCGAGCTCGACGCCAAGACCTCGAGCTGGACAACGAGTGTCGAGCTGAACGCTAGGACACAGAGCCGGACGACAGGGTGTCGAGCATGACTTCACCACGTGGGGTGGACATCGAAATGTCGAGGTGGACATCAGGGTGTCGGGCATGGATGTGACCCCCTTTGCCCAGTGTGGTCCTTAGTGAGTCCCTTTGGATTGGGCCTTAGTAAGGCTTTTGGGCCTGTCGGGCCCAGTCCAGAACAGGAGCCCCCCAAGTCGTGGTTCCTTTGCGAGGAGCCATGACTTGAAACCAAGTTGTTCCGTCGCTGAGGTCTCGTGCCCGGGATGGAGGCGTGGGCCCTCGAGGGGCCTCCTCGTGTCGTGCTCGGAGACGTCCTCGGTGGTGGATGCGTGGAGGATCCGTACCGGGCGTGTCGGTCGAGCACACGAGGCATCTTTCGGGAGCTGTGCCGCCACCCTAGGGGGGTAGGGCCATCATTGTGTTGGGAGCAGCGCGTCGAGGAGATGGAGTCCGTGGTTGAACGAGGTGACGTTTGGTATTCCAAGTCATCACTATAAATAGGGTCCTTGGGCCCCATAATACGTTTTCCGTTCTCCGTGCTCTCTCCGTTGCCGCTCTCAACACTTTCTCCAATTGCGACTTCCCGTCTCAGATTCTTCCATTTCTTAGTCAAATCTCAAACTTTGATCCAAGTAAGTAATCTACTTTCTTCATTTTTCCGTTTAGAATGCATGATTCTTGGAATTTGTAGACGTTTTAGGAGCGTGCGCGTGGGATTAGCCCGGTAAACTCGCGTTTTGCCCGACAGATTCATGTCTAGGACCGGCAAACGCATGTTTGTGTCCGACATATTCATAGTTTTAGGTGAAAAACTTCAGAGCTGCCCGGGGTCTTCATGATCCTGGGCGCCTGATTCATGACGGCGCCCGGTATGTTTATGGTCGTGGCCGTGGGCTTCATAGTGCGGCTCGCCATGTTCATAGCTCGGGCCGACATGCTTGAAGAGTGGCCGCGCAGTTGGTTTTGAGGAAGAACAGTGGGTTCAGGAGAGTCGGGGAAACATCCATTTGTGACGAATAAAGAATTTCAAGCAAACAACCTAACAGGCGGGCTGCCTGCCTATATGTCGGACATTCCACCAGCGCCTTGGTGTCGATCGGGCGAGACTCGAACGTTGGGTAAACTATGTTTTCCCGACTCTCCTGAACCCACTGTTCTTCCTCAAAACCAACTGCGCGGCCACTCTTCAAGCATGTCGGCCCGAGCTATGAACATGGCGAGCCGCACTATGAAGCCCACGGCCACGACCATAAACATACCGGGCGCCGTCATGAATCAGGCGCCCAGGATCATGAAGACCCCGGGCAGCTCTGAAGTTTTTCACCTAAAACTATGAATATGTCGGCCACAAACATGCGTTTGCCGGTCCTAGACATGAATCTGTCGGGCAAAACGCGAGTTCAGTGTGCTTCAGACCAAATGTGCGTCTAGCTATCATTCCACTGCCTTTCCAAACACGCTAAAAGACAAATTACATCTATCATTCAAAATCTATCATAAATACCGTCTAGCTTATATAGGTTCATACTATAATTTAGCCTATACAGATTCAGATTAGGCCTAGACTATTTTATAAATCTATTTAGTTAAAAAGATTAGACTTTACGTCATAAAAAAAAAAGTCTTTTAAGCTTAACCGACCAGCCTATATAATTAAATATAAATAATTTTTTAATTATAATTATGTCATATTTTGTACTTTGAATCAAAATAGATAAATAAAACCTGATAATGTTGGATTACTTATGAAAATAAGATGAAAACACCTTATAAACAATGTTATAACTTGTTTTCATAAATTCTCTTAAACAAATAATTTCACAAAACTTATGCTAATTGATAAGTTAAAATAAATCAATGCAAATAAACTTTTAGTCTCATTGATTTTTTAGTTTGTTAATCTATTTAAACATTATTTAAATTTCTTATTTACATATACATATGTCTAAAATAATATACTTTTATGTAGACTAATAGGCTAACCATGATTTTGATGTCCGAAAGAAGTTATCTCACTTTCAATGTGTACTTCTTGCAAATTTGGAAAATTCAACATAGATAACTAAAAAGATGTAAATGGAATTATAAAAAGCATGGTTGCTAGCATGATTTTGAAATTTGAGAAGTATTAGGGGTGAATATAGTGTTGTTGTATTTGGGATTGTTACAAAGTAATTGATCCGCTAAATTGGAAATTGAAGTTGGACAACATAAAATGGAGATTTAGTGGATCAATCATCTTCTTGGTTGTCTATCAAAAGACGTTGAATCTTCCAAATTTGCAAGAAGTACAAATTGGGAGTGGGATAACTGGTTCCCGACATAAAATTGGTAATTTAATAAAATGGCAACAAGAACCTACTCATTTTTTCAAGTCTCACGCACTCTTCCTTTAAAGGATTACATATATAATTTGTATTATAATACATGAAGGTTTTCAAATGCACGTTGATATTTAAGAGTAATTTTAAACATCAAATATGTTAAATTTCGTTTTGTAGGCACATCGGTAGCCAACCCACTTGATACATCAAAGATGCATTGTTTAAATTTTACCATTCTACTCTCTAAACCCTTCACATATTTGATGTTTTCCGTAATCTTTTGCAAACACCAGAAGCTTCTTTAAGTCCCTCTTGCACAATTAGATTTAAGATATGTGCATAACAACACACATGAAAGAACTCCCCTTTACATAACAACCAATTTTTCAAGGTTACTTGACTGATCAAGTTTGCTGCATGACATCATATGCATAAGTATTATCCAAAGTAATGTTAAAAACTTTTTTCTCTAGTCATAAACTCAAATGTTTTTAACGCAACTCAAAATCAGTGTGAAGAGGAGGCATGTGACAAAAGTTGAAGATTTTACTATTTAACTTCTAATTTTTATCACAGTAATGAGCAATTATAGTAATATAGCTCTCAATATTAATTGATGTCCATAAATAAGAAGTTAAAGAAATCCTACAATCTTAATCTTTTCTTTTTCCATATGGCATATTATCACAACAACAGCCTTGGTTGTATTTTTAGTGATAAGAATGTAATAAGGATTCAAATATTGAAGTCAATATGTAAGCTCAACAAATTTAAAAGAAAAATTATGTTTGATAATTAGCCGAGCACACATTTCACGAGATATAAATTATCAACCTTTAATTTTTAGCTTTCTTTGCATGTCTAACATCATCTGACCAACATCTCTAAATTTACATATCGTTTTCCTCCACATGCATATGATGAACCACATGCATTGCATTTTGCTCTTTTCCTTCCTTCTATATCCAACCCTTCTATAATAGTAAAATACCTCCACGCCTAATATTTTTATTATTAATGTTATTATTTTTATTAAATGTTTTGCAACTGTATGTAATAAAAATAATACAACTAATAACATACATCTGTATTTTTATTAGACTACTTGTAATGGGGTCTTGAATAAATTTTTCAATAGTTGAATTATTCTAATGGATTGTTGAATAAGGTGTTGAATGTGAAATGAATTAATTTGTGTTTAAAACATTTAACATGTTGAATGAGAAATGGGTGAGGATCATTTATAATACTTGTAAAATATAATTGGTTGTTGTGATTGTTTATATTTTTATCTCACTTAAATTATTTGGAGTCAATTATTTTATAGAAAATTAATTTTTTATTTATTTTTATTTTTACCAAAATTCATTATTTTTTGTTGTCTATAAATAGAGCATTGGTTCATTTGATTTGGACAAAGAAAAAAAAATCTATTTTTTTCCCTATAATTTTTCTATTTAGTCTCCAATAAATTATTGTTTGTAGCTTTAAACAATTTTTAATGAAATGAATCTCAACAATAACCCTCTTTAACTCCCAAAATTTTACTAATTATTCTTTCAACTACCTAAATCCCAACTATATATTTCAAAATCAATATTTCAACCAACAAGGTCCTCAAAATATACCAAATTTCATAATATTGTCATCTAATCTAAACTATCGTCCATATTATGGATTTATGATGTCATATTCATCTCAAGCACCACCTTATTATTCTTCTACTCCAATGGAAAATGAAAATGTTCCTAATGTTGGACTTATGAATTTCTTGATTTTTCTATACAAATGGCTTTTGGTGGCATGAACAGTGGTCATGGAGTCACTCCAAATGAAGATGATT